TCTCTCTCCACACTAATCACCGTCACATGCTAAAATTAGTACCTCAGTGAGCAGGTGATCGCTATCTCCTTTATATTCTCTCTCCACAGTAGTCAGTCCTCTTTCCTGCCACCACCATCTCCACCGTCTGCCTCCACTCTCTTCCGCACTTTTCGTCGGTGCACAGTGGCGGTTATCAGTAAAATCCTACTTAATTTTATTAACACTAAACTAGATTGTTAACATTTTGTAGAAACTTATAACATCAGCTGCTTCCCGAAAACTCGTAATTAATCTGCATATTCGTTTCGTAATTTGTGTTTTTTAAGTGCAAACAGCTCAAATGAAAACTCATATATAGATGTGTGATGAAGCATTTGAGTGACTAATCAACTTTATATATAGATAAATTTTTACGCGGAAAAATGGCGGATGTTGCAGTATTGAAGTCATGGAGAGACGAGCTAGCAAGCTTAGTGGAGGACAGTGGGATAAGGTTCGCCGGAGATGCGATAGAAATCTCAACTCCGGTGTTTTCCACGCCGGCGTACGAGGAGAAGAGATCGGTGTACAAATCGCCGGCGACCGAGGAGGTTGTAGCGGAGCCGGAGAGCTTTAAGGATCAAATTAAGGGTTTCGCGAAGGCTTGGGGAGAAATGTTGCTGGAATTGGTGAGAGGTTGTAGAGATGTGGTGCAACAAAGCCTATTGACTGAAGAATCATACATTGTGCAGAAAACGAAAGGTCCTTTAGCTGAGGTATCGAGGAGGTTGAGTGTTTTGAATGAGTTTTTGCCGGAGGATCGTGATCCGGTGCATGCTTGGCCCATCATTTTCTTCGTCTTCATCCTCGCCCTCTGCGGTAAATTTTGGCTTTCTTTTAATACTTTGAGATATTCTCCTTTTGCATTGACATATAAGCATTTTGCCTGCAGTATATATGTATGACTGTTTATTTATCAGTTTTTGAATTTCAAAATTTCGAAGTGTTGGGTTTTTGATTGATTAGCTTCTCCTAAACCTTGTGATTGTAGAATTGGAATTCTTTATTTAACATTGGCTCCACATAGAAACGGAAGAACATAAAACTAGTCCCTGTTTGACACTATTACTGTTTGGGAATCAGACTGACCTTTATTTGGCTGCGATTTTCTTTAAATATTAATTTTGATTAACTTCAACTTAAAAAGGCATACTGTGATCTGTATTGCCTCCGTTTCAATTTATGTGAGCCTATTTAATATTTGGTCAGTTGCAAAAAGAATAATATTTTTCTAAATTTGGTAATAATTTAACTTAAATTTCTTATTTTATGACAAGTTTGTATTCACACAAATGATAAAACTTTTAAGACCACAAGTTCCAAAAGTCTTTTTGCCACAAAAATGTTATGGCATGTTGAGACCAAAAATTTCAAAAGTTTTCATTTATTTTTTAAATTATGTGTCTAGTCAAACAAGTTCACGTAAATTGAAGCTGAGGGAGTAATAATCATTGCATAGTTTCCAAGTACTATAATTTTTTTATTAAAAAGAATAAACAAATCAATATCCAAATTTAAAATAAAAATACTGATGTGTTGATCGTTTTTTAAACGGATGGAGAACGGATCATTTTTATACCTGGAAACTTTCAAATCTAGCATTTTCTTTGATGATGAAATTCTCATCCTTCTTTATGTATATCCTCTGTTTCTTTGTGTGATCCAATGTATATTAGTCCCGATGGCATAATAACCTGATTCGATTATGTTTCTACACTCACTTAACATTTCTTAGGCTCTATCAATAGATTTCTCGGATCTTAATTGTGCTTCTTTCTCTAGATTTTTTCCTTTCAGTGCATGATTCTCTTTGGTTTCTGGTCCTGATAATTGGTGACATGTGCAGCATTGAGTGTAAATAGTAAACAAGATACTTCAGGCACGCAAGTGAAAGAAGTGTACATACATCCTCCTAGTGCTACTCGTATACTGCTTCCAGACGGTAGACATATGGCATATCATGAGATAGGAGTTCCACCTGATAGTGCTAGATATTCTGTAATTGCTCCACATGGCTTTCTGTCTTCTCGACTTGAAGGTAGGGAATTGGTGTATAGCTAGTGATTAATATTTATTAATTTGTCATTGCTTGATGTAATTAACTTGTTCTGGATGGCTTTTTGTGATAGGTATTCCCGGAGTGAAAATGTCACTTCTTGAAGAGTTTGGCATTCGTTTGATAACATATGACCTTCCAGGATTTGGAGAGAGTGATCCTTACCCTGAACGAAACCTTAACTCATCTGCTGTCGATATGCAATACTTGGCAGATGGTCTAGGAGTTATTGGTAAATTCTGGGTTTTGGGATACTCAAGTGGAGCGATACATGCTTGGGCTGCAATGAAATTTATTCCTGATCGAGTTGCAGGTGTGTTCGTTCTCCCACTTTTGTTAACACGGCATTGTAATATGCCTTTGAGACAGTTCACCACATTCAATGATGATTTCTTGAAATAGATAGATATACGAAAGGAACATCACTTGGATGACTATCACATAATTTCTCATCATTTTTCTGATGATTTTATCATCCTATTACAGGCGTAGCCATGTTTGCCCCCTTTGTCAATCCATATGAATCAAGCATGACTAAGGAAGAGGTGACAGGAACTTGGGACAAGTGGACAAGAAAAAGAAAATTGATGTACTATTTAGCTCGAAGATTTCCAAAATTTCTTGATTACATCTATCACCGGACATTTCTATCTGGAAAGCATGGTCAAATTGATAAATACTTGTCTCTGTCGCTAGGACAAAAGGTAGATATCTTTTATACCTAAGAAATTAGAAAACTGTGCATCCAAATAATGTGAAAGTTCAGTAACATAAATTTCACCATCGGCCATTCTGGTTCATAGTGGTAGGGAGTCCTCTTCAAGCCACTAGATCAAGAGTTCGCGTCTGGTAGGCTGCCAAACAAAAAAAGTAACATGAATTTCACCTTAAATTTTCATCTTGGATCTCGTNTACAGCTCTGTGAAAGAAGAAAAAGGAAGTCCAGAATGTATTCATTCTTATGTTTTCAGTTTGGATTGCCCCTAGTAAGTGACTGCATTATTAAAATCTTTAAAAAGAGAACAAAAAATGAGTTCATCTCAAAATCAAGAAGGAAAAAATAGGTGAAAAGGTAAACACACTTTGCATTTCCTACCCCAGTATCACAACAGTAGTTACTGTTTAGCAGAAAATTATAAATTCAGCTTTAGTTTGGGACTGACATATTTGATTTGATTGACTGTATTTGTGATAGAGAAAGACTTGATACTTGTGTTTCTGTCTTCTGCTTGCAGTGTCTGCTGTAACATTTTAATTATCTTTGTCATGTATCTTCTCGTGTTGTTCTCAGGATAAAGCGCTGATTAGCAAACCATCCTTTGAAGAGTTCTGGCACAGGGATGTTGAGGAGTCAATACGTCAGGGTAGCTCGAACCCATTTATAGAGGAAGCTTCGCTTCAGGTGTCAAATTGGGGGTTTAGCCTTGTGGATCTTCAAGTTCAAGAAAAGTGTTCTGGTAAAGGGATTCTGTCATGGCTTAAGTTTGGTTATGGTCAAGTGAAGTGTGAATTGACTGGATTTCTAGGACCAGTTCATATATGGCAGGTTTGCAAACATCTAAATCTTGTTTCCTCGGTTTCATTTGCTTTCTCATCTCTTCCTGCAATGAGTTTCGTTAGAACATTGATCTGCGCAAAGATCGGATTATCTCTATTATGTCTCAACAGTGTAGAATATATTTCATGAGCATTTGAATTATGAACAGGGATTGGATGATGAGGTTGTACCGCACCAAATGACTGACTACGTGGCTAGAATTCTGCCAAGGGTGGTGGTCCACAAGCTTCCCGATGAGGGCCACTTTTCCTATTTCTTCTTCTGTGAGGAATGCCATAGACAAATGTTCCTGACCATTTTCGGAAGCCCTCAGGGACCTCTTGAAAATAGCAATGATGGAGAGCAGGAAGCTATAAATCTGGATTTGGCAGCAGAATGAGAGGAAATAGTTTCTTGATCACTAAATATTGGTGTATATACTACAGGAATGCTCCTTTTCTCAAGGAGCACTAAAAGGTCAGATGTACGAGGTGGTCCTAATGGGCTTTGAATGTTTTTCTCTTTCCCTTCTTTTTTTTTGGTGGATAGTGCTTTCTGGATTTCACTATGAATTCTAACAGTAGAGGTTGAGGAACAGATTATCACAGGAAAAGCATATCGTTATCTTTCAATAGATGCCCTTTATTTGGATATTCCTTGTTGCAAGGATCTGTCTTTAAAGCCCAAGTTGAGAGTGTTGATCGTAATATCTCCGGCCACGTCAATTTTCTAAATGACTTAGATGAATTTCACATTTCCAGCCAAGTATTTACTACTATGTACTTATTAAGCTAGTAACAGAGGCAGAGAGCGAGAGAGGGTATATACCTTCCAGAAATGAAGGATCTATAAAATTTGTCATGTTTATAGGGTGTGTTTGGTACGAAGGAAAATGTTTTCATGGAAAATGAGTGATTTTATAACTTATTTTCCCTTGTTTGGTTGGTGAGTGGAAAACTTTTTTCAGAAAATATTCTTTTGTTTGGTTAGAGAGTAGAAAATAAAGTACTTATTTTGTTAAAATGAAAGAAAATACTTTTTTTTGTTGAAATGAAAGAAAACACATTTCCTACATCATGAAAAAAAAAATGTGAAAATGAAAGAAAATATTTTTTACTATATCATTTTGTTAGAAGAAAAGAACACTTTTTTTACATCACGAAAAAAAAGTACTTTTTTGTTAAAATAAAAAAATATTTTTTTTTATATCATGAAAAAAGAAAGTATTCTCTATATGACATGAAAAGAAAGTGCCGTTGATAATCTAGACCTTTTTACTTAAAAGAATTTGGACAGGTTACGTCTATTCACTTTGCGCTAGTGTTCCATCGGCAAGGACAAATACGAGATACAAAAAGTGTAAATGAGTGCAAATTTGAGTAATTTTGGATGATACAGTGAGCCTAATTTGATATGCATTAAACTATCTTGTCAAAGATCGCAATTTTCTCTGTTGTGAAACCGCGTGATCCAAATTATGGATGCATAAGTATCACTGGTTCTACTAGTAAGAGTCCTACAATTCTTCAACCGTCCTCTCTCTCCCCAACCCGCCAACAGAAAAAAGAGGATACATCACATTGCCATAACCGATTCTAACTTGTTTGGAATTGAGACATAGTTGCTCACAACTGGCTGTTCCAAGCAAGAACACTAGTAGCAAATTCTCCAACATTCGGTTAACTAGTGCAGGTGACAAATACTAACTCATCCAACTGAATGCATCTTCTGGTTTAAATAAAAGAATTATATATTAATCACAAATCACAATATTCTAGTGTCTAATTGCTGAAGAACAAAAATAAACCTACCTATAAAGAGCGTAGTATTTGGAACTTCTATAGCACAACTAAAAACTCTGTTGTTGAGCCTAAAATGCGGATCCGATATTCTTCGTATTTCCAAGCAAGGTGTCTTTGGCTTCATTAATTTTAGAAGCAAGGTAGTGACTACCTCCTGCGTCTGGATGGTTAGCTACCATCACCTTCCTATGTGCTTCCCTTACTTTATCTGCTTGAACGCTTTCCCTGTTGAAGGTTAATGTCAATATAAGGAATCACGTAAACGAAAAAAAAGGAGAAAGACGAGCTATGCTGCAGTTCTTATCTATTGAATAGCATTGTACCGAGTCTTTTTCTTCTTTGGCATGGGGTGGAAAGAAAGAGAGAGACAGTACTAGAAAGCACGGCGATTAACAAACACAAACAAACATGTGCAGATGAAAGCGTTAGACCAAAATCAAGAAATGAGGTCCCAGGGAATTGAAAGAAAAACGTCACTTATCCCTTTGCATGCTGCTGAAAGTGATGTTCAATTTCTGTATCAACTTGAAAAGTGAAGAGACAAATGCAAGATCTAGAACCTTGTTTCTCAAATAACATAAAACACAAAAGGCAGGTTCATCACAATACGTAGGAAGAGAGGATGAAAGCATCAACTGTTTTTTCACACAAGAGAAGCTTGTTGAAATCAGTGAAAGAATATTCCCCATTTACCCCTACCAAACTCGTATAGTTCTGGTTGCTGCAAAAGCATAAGAACTGCGACCAGTATACTGCTTTGTCCCTTGTTCAAAAAGGTATAGCTTAGCAAGCACAGCTGTACCATGACAAACTAATTTTAAGCTATTGGAAAACAGTTGCGCCAATAATTCAATGAAAACAAAACATACAGGGAAACTCAGAACCAGAAAAATTCGGTGCAAACCTAAAAATACCTTGCACGTTCACTTTAATACTAGATTTTCTGGGTAGAGGGGCGGGCCCATTATCTACCAAGTTTCGAACCCTTCGCCGCTGGTTCTTGGGGATTTCTAAGGTTATCGAGTGACACAATAGTTTCAAGGATGCACCGCTTACAAGGGCAAGTTGAGTCATACTGATAGATGAAAAATACAAGTATAGCTCAGCCTACAAAAAGAATGTCAGTAAATATGTTTTATTAAGTTAGAAGTACTTAGAATATTAACATTGGCCAGGCTATGGGACAGAATAAATAATTGACGATCATAAAAGAGAGAAATCTGGAGGATCGCCCATAAAGGTCCCTGATTGAGGTTTAAAAATTCTTAGTATAAGGTACCACATCAAACTCTCACATGCTACTAGCTAATAAGATACACCAGCATCAGCAAAAATTCCCCGTGCGTGGAAGTCAGGTTTCGCGAGGGAGTTTATACTCGTTGCTGATGTTACTAGGGTCGGCATTAAAAGGCATTAAGACTTGTATGACCACATTTAGATCACCACAATAACCATCAGCGACTACATAGAAATTCTACATCTGCATGAAATTACATGTCTCTGGGTACGTATGCTATGATTAAGCATGAATAGTAATACTTGAATCAGACAATGAAAAGAAAGAATGCAAAAAAGATATCAGATTTCCTTTACTGAAGAAACTTGAATGGATAATAAAGAATTTCAATTATTTTACTTAGGCAAAGTTCATCTGTTATGTAGTTTACTCAATAACTTTTGGCTCAATGCTAAAGTCATAGCGAGAGTGCGGTAATATATTGGAAGTGCAGAAAGGTGCTAAAATGAATGAGAGAACACACCTGACTCCAAGAATAAGAGCTGCTTCCCTCCTGTTCATTTTAGGCTGAAAACCTCCTTCATAAAACTTACGCATTCTTGCAGTCGGAGGTCTGGCTTTGAATGCTTTCCATGCCTGGATTCCATACCTTCCAGCATATGCAGCGGCAGCTATAGCCAGTCCTGCTACCAATGGTGCAGGCTGAAGCACAATTTAGAATTACAAAAATTATGAGTATAATCAAGATAAAGTAACCATTATACTGAAACCATATCATGAGCATTAAGCAGTGATGACATAATTACTGATGCATAAGAAATGGAACTGAGAAATAGCTTAGCAGACTAAAGCTATGTTGTGCGCACTCTCCAAAATGTTGTTGCACCCGTGTCGGATCCTCAAAAAATGCACTACATTTTCGGAGAGTCCGAGCAATATAGGACTAAAGTAATCCGATATATGGGCCTTTTTTTGGATAACTGAGAATCTCGAGCAACAGTGGTACACGGTTCGAAATCTGGTGCATAATGGGCCAGTCATTCAACGCTTCTCCATATAAATAACGGGCTTTTGCCAGCGGCGGGATTCATTGAACCGATAACGTGTGCCTTAACTCCCACACATCACGCCCTGTGCTCTTACTACTAGACCAAAGCCCTCGATGCCCAATATATGACCATTTTTCCAACAACATTCCCATTTGAAGAACGACTCAAGAATGTGCAAGGAAGATACAGATACTACTAGTGCAACAAAAAAGAAGCTCGAAATAGTAAAGAATAAAATGAGATATTATCATATTTGTTATTGCATTTTTGGTTTGTCGCATTAAAACATGTATTGTAATGTATCATCTCAAAACATGTGTTTGCTTTAACTTGAATTTGCTTTCAATAATATCATTGGCCAATAAATCGCTTTACCAAGACTAGTTCTTGTTTTATTACTATATGTGATTAACAATAATTAGCACTATATTAAAACTCAGAATTTTTAATGATATAAATTACAGCATACTTTTAAGGATAAAACTAAGACGAGCTGTACTAGAATACTTAATAAACAAAATATATTTCTTGCATTCCTCTTTTGAACATCAAAAAATTGATTTTAAACACTTTTTTATTATTCTCATAATCAATATTATATATATAGAAACTAATCAAAGGCTTTTGTAAGGAAAAGATAAATACTCTAGATTGAAAATAGCAAAAAGGAGTCATTTTGAGAACAAAGACATGAGAAAGAATCCAAGTTCATAGGCCAACCTAACAATCTCAAACCGAAAGAATCAAAAAGTTCAAAGCTTTATTACCAAAACTAAAAATAAAGATATCCATAGGTATGAAGTGCATAGACAACAAACACAGAAGTTTTAAAGATACATAAAAACCAATATTCACCACAATATGAGGATGCACCAATTATTATAGAGAGGGAGCCAAGATGTGAAGCTTATGGGTTGGGTATTCTAATCTTTTTAAGTTACTAGGTTCTAAATTAATGGTTTTTACAAATTTACTGGATTTCTTAAGTCAAATACACGGTTTGGATCAAAGTTTTTGGGTTCGTCCCCGTGAAGAATGACATTAAATAAAGATGCTTAAGTAAATCATCACATAAAACCAATTGTTCAATCCAAGTTCATAGCTAAAACAGAAAATGTTAAAATTCGTATACCAAAGAATCAAAAGTTCGAAACTTTATGATCAGAACCAACAAATAAGGAACCCAAGATGACCAAAAATATCAAGTACTATGGGGGGGG